CTGCCCTTCTTGGAGGGGTATCCTCTCCCTGCGCGCCCCTGAGGTTGATGGTTTCTGAAGGGGGGGGGGGGGGCATCGTGCGAAAGGGCTGTGGTGTGGAACCGTCGTGTGTAGTTTAGGGCTCTTCTGCGGGTTTCCGAGGAGCTCTGTGGCATCGCTTTTGCAGCCTACGGCGCGGTCGCGAAGCGCTTCCGCAGACGGCTCCATGGAGGTGTTGGCGTGGTCCAAGAGAGCCCCCGAAACGAGCCCGAACAGAATCGGACCAGAGGGCTGTGGTATGGTTCTGTTCGGGGCCTTTTCGGGAACTCCCTTGGGCCGTGCTGGAGCGCGTTCGAGCTCTTCGAAACGGGCTTGGTCGGTCCGAAGAGAGCTTCAGGAGGGCACCAGAATGTCCGAGAGGGCCCCTGAGAGGAGCCCGAACAGAGCCATGCCAGAGGCCTCCGGGATTCTGTTCGGAGCCTTGTCGGGGATTCTTTTTGGGCCCTCTTGGGCCCCATGTGAGCTGTCCGCAGGGGTCCCGGCGGATCCTTACAGCTCTCGAAGAAGGCTTCAGAGTGGTCGAAGAGGTCTCCCGAAACGATTCCCAACAGAATTGCGCCACAGGCCTTGGGTATGGTGCTGTTCGGGGCCTTTTCCAGGGATTCTCTTTGGCCCTCGGCAAGCCCGTGTGGCAAGCCCGTGTGAGCTCTCCGAGGCGGGCCTGGTGGGTCCGAACAGGGCCCCAAGAAACTTCAGAATGTCCGAGAGGGCCCCCGAAATGAGCCCCAGCAGAACCCACCAAAGGCCTTTTGTGTGGTTCTGTGCGGGACCTTCTCAAGGGTTTTCTTAGGCTTTCGTGGACACCATTTCAGCGCCCCGAAGCGGGTTCGATGGATCTGAAAAGGGCTCCAAGAAGGGTTCAGAGTGGCCGGAAGAGCTTCCGAAACAAGCCCGAACAGAACCATACCAGAGGCCTTTGGTGTGGTTCTGTTCGGGGCCTTGTCGGGGATTGTCTTGGGCCCTCTGGGAGTCCATTTAAGCTCTCCGAAGCGGGACGGTCGAGCTCCGACCTACGAGGGTCGCCTGCAGCAAGAGGTCTCCGACGAGGGGTGGTGGTTCACGAGCCGACGCTGGGTAGACTCGGCCGTGGTCGCGCCACCACTCCTCCTCCTCCTCCTCCTCCTCCTCCTCCTCCTCCTCCTCCTCCTCCTGCTTCTCCTCTTCTTTGTTTCCACCTCCTCCTCCTCCTCCTCCTGCTTCTCCTCCTCCTCCTCCTCCTGTTTCTTCTCCTCCTCCTCGCCCTATTTCCTCCGTTCCTCCTCCTTCTCTTCTTACCCCTCCTCCTCCTCCTCCTCCTCCTCCTCCTCCTCCTCCTCCTCCTCCTCGTCCTCCTCCGCCTCCTCCTCAGGAGGTGGAGGAGGAGGAGGAGGAAGGAGGAAGGAAAACGGAAGAGGAAGGAGGGAGTGAAAAGGAAGAGGAGGAGGAGGAGAGGAGGAGGAGAGGATGAGGAGGAGGAGGAGGAGAGAGGAGGAGGAGAAGGAGGACGAGGAGTAGGAGGAAGAGGAGGAGGAGGAGGAGGAGGGGGGAGGAAGAGGGAGGACGAGGGAGGAGGCGGGGGAGGACGAGGAGGACAAGCAGGACGAGGAGGAAGACGAGGAGGAAGACGAGGAGGAGGACAAGGACGAGGAGGAAAAGGGCGATGGATGTCTCTTCGGATGTCTCTTGGAAGTCTTGTCCGAAGCTTCTTTCAATATATTGGGGGCCTCTTGACGGCCCAGGGGCCTCTTGGAGCGTCGTGGGTGCCCCGGGGAGCATCTTGAAGCTTCTTGGGGGGCCTCTTGGGAGTCTCTGGGGAGCCTCTTGGAGGCCTCTTGGGGCCGTCTGGGCGCCTGTTGGGGTCTTGGGGCGCTCTTGTGAGCCTTCGGAGCGCTCTTGGCGCCATCTTGGAGGAGATCGATTAAAGAAAGGGGGTTAGGGTACCCCCTCGGGAGCATCGAACATCGCCTCTTGGGCCCCTCTAGGAGCGCTCTTGGGCGCTTTTGGGGCCGTCTTGGCGCTCTCTGGGGTCCCTCTTGGGGCCATCTTGGGCCATCTTGGAACCATCTTGAAGCATCGGATGGCCATCGGAAGCGAAAAGGCGAGAAGGCAAAACATCAGTGGTTTCCCTCATGTGTTTCAATGGTTTTGGCCTCTTGGAGGCTTCCTTGGGAAGCTCTTTGGCTTCTTGGAGCCGTCTTGCGGCGGTCTTGGGGCCTCTTGGACTATCTTCGGAGAGGCTTCTTAGGCTATCTTGATCCATCTTGGAGCTCATCTGGGGCTCTCCGAGGCGCTCACGGAGCCATCTTGGGCCATCTTGGACGCTCTGACCGCTCGCGAACCCCCCCGTCCAGGTCCATAGGGAGAGGGTAGGGGGAGGAGTAAGCCCCTCCCCGAAGTGGACGAAGGAGGTTGGAAGAAGAAGCTCTCTAAACCACCTACGCCCAGAAGGCTGGTGGGATTGTCCCAGCGGGCCGGCTAGAACTTGAGCGCGCCCGAAGCGCACATCTATCTATCTCTATATATATATACAGATAGATAGATGAATACAAACATTTATAAGTGTAAGCATGTATAAATGTAGATATACTCACTTTCATGTGTGATGTGGCATCCCGCCTCGTTCCCTCACGAGATGGACTCCGTAGGCTTCCAGCGGCGCCGAAGAGGCCCTTCAGAGATTTCGAAAAGGGCCCCAGACGCTTCCCAGATGGCCCACGATTGCCTTCCTGGGCCTACCATCCCGCCCCGAGGCAGCTCCATGATAATCCAAGACCGCCCTAACCTGGCCCCACGAGCTCCTAGATTGTCCCCAGGCCTCTCTCCTAGAGGGCCCACGAGGGCCCCGAGAAAGCCCAAGAGGGCCCAAGCTGGCCCCGAGAACACCCCAGGGCCCCGATCTGGGCGGGGCCCTTTTTTCAGTCTGTGCAGAGTCCCCGTTGTCTATGAAGTCGGCACGATCTGTGTTGTGCAAGCATGGTCGGCTGCCAGCCCGTGAGGGCTCTTGATCCACGGCCCCCCCACTCGCGCTAGTCTTACCTGCATTGCAGGAGCAGTTGCGTGCAAGAGGTCGGGAAACAACGAAACATGTATACACCAGGGTCCCGTATACACCAGGATCCGCTCTCCAGTGCAAATTCCAATGTAGGGCCGGAAGAAGCGTCGGTGCATAGAGTTCGATTCCCTAAGAAGGGCTTGGGGCCACACATATCTGCAGGATGCCCTTGGCCGTCGCGAGAGCCTCCGGAGTGCCCTGAGGCGGCCTCCGACTGCCCCAGGACGGCTTCAGGACGCTCCGGGGGGCCCTAGGACGACCAGATAGGGCTCCAAGACCGTCCAAGATGGCCTCGAGACAGTCGAAAAAGCCTCCAAGACGCCCCACGAGCGCTCCCAGAGGGCTTCTGAGAGAGCCTCAAGATGCAAACATCGACGGACTTCCGTAGGTTTTTGAAGCATTTTGCGTTGATCGCCTCTTCGGGTCCTCGACCGCCCAAGACGGCGTCAGGGGCCTTCCACAGTGGCCCGAGACGGCCCAAGAGTCCCCAAGAGGGCCCCAAGAAGGTTCAAGAGGACCCCAAGACGGCGCAAGAGGGCGCCGAGAAGGGTTTAGAGAGCTTCCAGAAGGCTCCAAGAGGTCGCTATCATGGCCCCAAGACGGCCCCCCCGAGGCCCCAAGAGGAGCCTAGAGGGGCCCGAGACCCCCAACATACATGCCTCTGAGGGCTCTTAGAAGGCCCCGTATGAGGCCTAGATCCGGGCCAAGAGAGCCCCAAGGCGACTCCCGAGAGAGCCTGACGACGCAACATTCAAAAATTTGCAGTTGGTTTTCGCCTGAGTTTAGCTTGCTCGCCTTGTGGGATTCTTGACTGCTGCAGGAGGCCCTTAATGGGCCCCAAGACGGCCCAATAGGACCCCAAGACGGTCCCAAGAGGGCGTCAAGATGGTCCCAGAGAGCCCCAAGAAGGCTCACAGAGGTCGCCAAGAAGGCCCCGAGAAGCCCCACACAAAATCAAGGATTTCCGTTAGTTTTTGGAAGGATGCTAGTTCGACCGCTCAAGACGGCCTCAGGGGACTTCCTCATCGGCCCCAGACGACCCTGGAGGCCCTCAGGAGGGTCCCAAGACAGCACAAGAAGACCCCAAGACGGCCCAAGAGTGCTCCACGACAGTTCCAGGAGCGAGGGAGAGACCCTTGCGGGGCGGCCTCAGAGCCCTCCGGGAGACGAGGATTTAACACAATGGTGGCGTGTTGAATTCTGTCTGCGGCCCTGGGCTCGGGCGCTGCGGCCTTCGCACATCTGCCGCGGACCGTGCCGAATTATGTCGGCGGCCTTGGGATCGGGTGCCTCGGCCTCGGCACCCCAGCCGTGGACATAATTCAACATGCCACCCCCGCGTTCGATCTCCTCGTGGGCACAACTTCCGCGGGCGCCTCCTTCGGGCCCTGCAGGGCCGTGAGAAGAGAACCCGTGGCAAACAAACCGTCCCCGCCTGGGAATGAGTCCAGAGGTCCAGGGCCCGCGTGTTGAACAAAGAGCAATTCGCAGACATCCTGCGGCAAGGAGCAGTCGGCTCACCTCGCCTGCCTGCTCCCCCGCCCGCCCGCAGGGCAGGCAGGACGGGCGAGCAGTGCACCTGGGCGGTCCCGCCGCTCGGCGAGACGTGGGAAGCGAACGCGGCGCCCAACTTTACCGAGTGCGCCTGGCGGCACCGCCTATTCCACCCGCAAGTGGACGTACAGTCGGCCCATATTAGTAGGGCAACCCTGCCAAATCAAGGGTACCCTTGTGTCCTGTGTCTCGCGACCCATGCTTCCTACATTCCTGTGGCAATGTGGCCCTCGGAATCGTCTTTTGTCCTCTCACGTGTCCTATCCAATCAAGTTCGACTGTGGTCCACCGGTCAGCCGTAGTCAGCTACAGCGCTGGGATCAGCGCGTGCGAGACGGGCCAGCAGTGGAAGCGGGCTCTTGGGCTGCTCATCGAGATGCGGGAGATGAAACTGGAGCCCGACGTCATCGCATACTGCGCTGTCATCGGCGCGTGCGGGAAGGGCGAGCAGTGGCAGCGGGCTCTGGCGTTGTTCAACGAGATGCGGGAGGCTACGCTGGAGCCCAACGTTATGTGCTACAATGCTGGGGCCAGCGCGTGTGCGACGGCGGGGCAGTGGCAGTGGGCCCTGGCACTCCTCAGCGAGATGTGGGAGACGAGGTTGGAGCCCGATGTCATGCGTCCAGAAAGGGCCTGCGATGGCAGCGAGCCGTCGGTGCCAGATATTCAGAGGCTCTCGACACTCCCAGAAGCCTTCAAAGGGGCCTCGAGACGACCCCAAAGGGTTCCCAACCTTGCCCAAGGCGGTCTCAGAAGCCCAAGTGGCCCACGACGGACCACGAGGCTGCCAAGAGAGGCCCGAGGGAGCGGCATAGTGGTCACCATATGTGCAACTAATGGGACGCCATAAAGGTTGTCCGACGTGCTTAGCGTCCCAAGCTTTGCAGCCCAAGACGGCTTTAGGAGAGCTTGTCACGGCTTCGGAGGGCCCCGAAGCCGTCCCAACAGAACACATCGACCGCTCCACGAACACTCCAAGGCGTGCCCCAGCGTGCCCCAAGAAGCTCCCAGAATTGCCAAGACCCCCCCAGGGGGGGCCCAGAGCAGCCCAGTGGAAGCCCAAGTCTGCCCAACACCGCCCCCAGAGTGCGCCATACTTGCCCACGAGTGCCAGCTCAGGGCCCCCGCTCTCCCCAAGACGACCCCTGGATGCCCCCCACATGATTTCCACATTCGAGTAAGAGATCGACTGCAGAATTGTTTTACCTCTAAATTGAATCTTCGCCGAATCTACACAACCATATGCAGAATTCTTTGTAGATCTACGACCATCCTGCGTAGTTTCGTAGATACGACGGACCAATAATTTCGAGGGTAAACCAATTCTGCAGCCGATCTCCCACTCGAGACATGACTAAGAGAGCCCGAGTGCGGCTGCGGGGGCATCAGCGGCCAGGAGCAGGCCAGCAGCCTCGCAGCCAAACATGCGCACGCAGGCGAGCAGGCACACGCGATGCCCACCGTGCACGTGCGAGCAGGCTGCCGCGTGCCTCCCGCACTAGCGCCGGAGCCGCAGGACCCAAGTCGACCTGACAGGTCCCCGGGCTCAGCATCGTGCAACCGACCCCCATCCCCGTCCCCGTCCCCGTCCCGATCCCCTCGAGGCTCGACGGGAACAGCTTCTACCCCCATCCAGGGGAGTGAATCGGCCAGAGGGGGCCCAGGCCACGCCCGTGGAGACAGGGATCGGTCGAAAGCTGCTCGTAGGCGCCGAGGGGCGCCCCCGAGGCCTCCCCGGACGGCCCCTCGGAGCCTCCGAGGGCCACGCGTGGCGCGAGAGGCGCCCGCATCGCTCCAAAGACGGCTCCTTGAGGCGGCCGCGAGAGGCTCCGAGGCGGCCGCCGCAGTGGCTGGCGGCAGGGTGACTCTGCCCTAGACGCCCTCCGTGATGGGCCCATGTTCCACCGCCGCTACCATAGGCAGGATCGGGGGTCCTCCTCCTCCTCCTCCTCCTCCTCCTCCTCCTCCTCCTCCTCCTCCTCCTCCTCCCTCTCCTACCTATGGTAGTGGTGGTGAAAAAGTCGGTCCATGACTCCGCCGAAGGTGGAGAAATCAGTCAAGGGTTAGGAAGAAACCGACCTAGATCCGCGACCGCCTCTCCAGGCCGGGCATCCTCTATAGGGCCTGGCAGGGCGGCCTACATTGGGCCTGGCTAGGACGAGGATAAAGCCGTTCCAGAGCACTCTGGAGCGCTCTCAGAGCGTTCCAGAACGCTCTGAGAGGGCCGCGGCGCCCGAGACATCTTCCAGAGCCGCCAGATCTCAGAAATTTTCAGTTTATCCTCGTCCGACCTCCGCCCCGGGCGCAGCCCCGCGGACATGATGAGCGATCACGATTCCGTAGAGCCCCGTCCGCCTTTTCACCCTCGCCTTCGTCCTCGTTCTCACCCTCCATTTTGTCGTTGAACGCTGCGCGGGCTAGGAATTATCGGATCGCAGCGTCAGGGTAGCCAAATTCCCGAGACGTGCCGCAACGCTTCTCCACGCAAGGCAACTGTTCATACGAACGCCCCATACACAAGAACACATCGCGAGATACGCAGCACTCTGAAACTCTTCGCCAAAAACAGTGTTGGACCACGCGCGTCGCACACCTGCGCTGGAGTGGGCCGGTGAGGACAGCGCCATGCGCTAGCGACGTTCCGGCGGTCTGTGCTCTGTGATGCAGCAGCGCCGCGTGCTAGGTGACGCGACGGCGCCACGCGGCATGCGGGCGCGCGCCATGCGGGCGCCCAGCGCTCCGCCAGGCCCCCCCGGGCAGCCCGCGAAAGTGGCGAAAGTTTCGCAGTTCGCAGCCTCTGACGGAGCCGCGAGGTCTCAAGCGCTCTACGTTGCCCCGCGCCCCGCCGTGGCTCCCAGGAGCCCACGAGACATGCGGCAGCTGCTCACTTCACAGTCCCAGGGGGGAGCCGCGAGGTCTCACTGTGCGTTGCCCTCGACTGCCGTGCATCGCACGAACCCAGCCGCGATGTTTCGGCTGGGTCAGCGTGCAACTCCAGGCCGTTGAACATTCCAGGAGCCCACGAAAGTGGCGACGGGCGCGCATCCCCCCCTTCAGGGAACCGCGACGTCTCGTCTGGGTCAGCGTGTAACTTCGCCCCGGTGGACCTCCCAGGAACCCACCCCCTAGGAGCTGCGAGGTTTCGTCTGGGTCCGCGCGCACTTGTAATTCTATTCCGCTGGACCTCGCAGGAGCCCACGAAAGTGGCGACGCTTGCGCGCTGCGCCAGCCCCCCAGGGAACCGCGAGTCTCGGTTGTGACCACGTGTAGCTTCCCTCCGCTGGACCTCCCAGGAGCCCGCGACAGTGGCGGCACTTGCGCGCTGCGCAGCCCCCAGGGAGCCTCGAGTCTCGGCTGGGTCCGCGTGTGACTCCACTCCGCTGGACCTCCCCAGAGCCCACGAAAAAGGCGACAGGTGCGCACTTCGCAGCCCCCCCAGTGCTCTATTCAAGCCGAGAACCCAACCAATGGTGGGTTGGACATACAGCAGGGGGCAGAGGCAGGAGGGAGAAGGAGGGGGGAGGAGAGGAGGAGTGGAAACCACACCTTTGTATTCAAACTGACAACCGTCCCACCACCGGAGGGGTGTGAACACAGACAGTCGACTTAGGCGAAGCAGTCTAGCACACCAGCTTTACAGCACGCCGCAGGTGGTGGGATGATAGGCAGATAGCAGCCATGAGATCAGGTTAGCCCGTTGGGGCGTAGAGTAGGCGTGCAGCAAACCGATGAGAGGATGAACGAGCAAATCGCGACACCCTCCACCTCCACTTCCTTCCCCCTCTTGGGTCTGAGCCCTTTCGGGATCAAACTTTACAAGGTGAGGCATTGTGAGGTGGCACCCCACAGGGCCCGACCTTCAAGTATGGGGCCCGATGACGTGTGACCGCTCTATGGGGTGGGACCCCATGGCGTGGGACCGTTCATGATTGCGCCGTGCATTGCGCCCTCGACCGCCAGAACTTGCCATGTCTGCAATTGCTTGCGCCATGGGTTGCGCTCTCGGCTGCCGAAACTGAGAATATCCTGCTGTTGGTCGCGACTTACACCTTTCTGCAATTGGTTTTGCCATGCGCTGCGCCTTCGGCTTCCGAAGCGTAAAACGGTATGCCGTTGGTTTCGCTATGGGTGGAGCCTTCGGCAGTCAGAGTATGATCTGTTTTGTTGTTATGTATTCTGCCACAGGCTGCGCCTTCGGCAGCCCAAGCTCCAAACTGCTTGCCATAGGTTGCGCCCAGAGAGCCAGAACTTGAACGGACTGCAACTGATTGCGCAATGGTTTAGACCTTCGGCCACCTGAACTGAGAACGTCCTGTTGTTGGTTACGACGTGGGTCGCGCCCTCGGTCGCCCAAATGTTCAACAACTTGTAAGGTGCTGCGTCACAGGTTGCACTCGACCGCCGACGCGGAGAACGTCTAGGCTTCGCCTTCGATTTCCGACATCTCAGACGTCGTGCTGCTGGTTGCGCCATGGCTTGCGCCTTCGACCGCCGCAGTCTACATCGGTGGTGTACACTGTCGTGACAAACGTGTCACAGTCTTGCCATGACGATACGAAGCAATCCCGGTGAACGTTGCCATCATCAGAGGCAGTTTGGGGGTATTCGGCGGAGCATTCTCAATCCTCATAAAACTGTTAGCCCTTAGTTCAAGACGGGAAGACGCAACTACTTCGCGCCAAACCATGGTATCAGATGGGGTGCGCCCTCGCGCGGAGTAGAACCCCCCGTCTGTTCCGCCGTTCCCGTCGCGGCGATAGTAGTCATCGCGCCTGAGGATGCGCCCTTCACCACTGAAACTTCAACAGTCTTTCGTGATTGCGCTAGAGGTTGCGCCCTCGTTTGCCGATGCTTGACAGGTCCTACTACTGGGTGCAACCATTCCAGTCCAGTCCAGTTCGGTCAGCTGGTTCCCGGGCTGGCTGGCCCAGAACAGGACATGGAAGTCCACGTTTCTCAAGGCATACCGCCCGTGAGCCATGTCGTCAATAGGGAATTGTGGTGTCTGCTCATCCCAAGAGGCTGACGGCCCCAATATTCCGCAGACAGCGAAAATGCTTCCCAAAGGGCCCCAAGACCCAAGAGGTTCGGAAGAGATCGAAAGACTGCCCTGGAGGCCCCACGATGCCCCCTAAGACTTGTCCAAGAGGCTCTCGATGGTTCGCAGAGGTGCCCATAGTCGAGCATCATAACGCCATTATTTGTTTACATGTTCGTCATCCTGCACGTGTTTCACTTCAAGATGGCTCCTATAGGTATGGTTCGAGAGGCTTCCTGGAGGGCCCAGGGCGCTCCAAGAATGGCCCACGAGGGCCCTGGCTAGCTTCCAAGGCGACTCCGACACGGCCGCAGTCCACCCGAAGATGGCCCCGCCTTCCGAGCGTCCCTGGACCCCCCCGCACAGCACCCACAGGCCTCAAGGGACGCCCAGTGGCTCCAAGAGGCCCAGGCGGGCCATGGGCCGCCTCAAGATGTTTCTAAGGCCATTCCAGACGCCCCTCAGACTTCAGAGAAAGGCCCCGCGAGGCCCAGAGCAACCCCACGAGAGCCGGCGAAGGGCCCAACATGGCCCCAAGAGGCTTCCAGAGAGCTTAAAGATGGTGTGCATGAGGCCCGAC